TATCAGGAGGGACCGGTCCCTGGAGAAGGACATTATGCTTGGTAAAGTGGAGGGTCAGCAAAAAAGAGGAAGACCCTCAACGATACGGAATGACACAGTGGCTGCAACAGTGGGCTCAAGCATAAGAACAACCGTGAGGATGCCTCAGGACCAGACAGCGTTTCATTCTGTTGTACCTAGGGTCGTTACGAGTCAGAACCGACTCGAAAGCACCCAACAACATAGCACAAAGAAAAAGATTTCTTTGGGTCTTCAAAAATATTCTCCGTATCTTTCACACCTAAACTCCTGATAATAATTCCATATCACAACTCAGAACTGAGAATTGGTAGAATCAACTACACTGCTTCTTATTCAAGCTGGTGCTGTTAATAGTGACAGAGTACCTCTCCTTAAGTCTTTTCTCAAGCTGATTAATTTCCAGTAATAATTTTGCTCCTGTGTCCATAAAGTTATTGAATCAAATACTGACATATTTTGCTGGTTCATCAAGAACCAGATGACAACCAGAAAAACCCTGGAAACTGTCAGTGGTCCAAGATTTACATTCTGTTTTAATTCACACAAGTAACAGTGCATTAAGTACATACTTAGAAAAATTCAAGCAACATCAAAGTATAAAGAACCCTCTTCAATCTCGTCTCCTAATCTCTTTCTCCAAATTGTTAAGTTTGGTGTATATCCTTTCAGATATTTTTGTATGTTTACACCAACAACTGCTATTCGCTTGTTTTTTATAAATTGGTATCATGCTATTCGTATTGTTCTATTAATTGTCTTTTTCACTTATCAAAATGTTTTGGAGATTTCTGTCTGTACCTGTAGGTCATTCTCAGTGGTCAGCAAACTATGGTTTGTGGGTCAAATGTGGTCCATAGCCTGTTTTTGTAAATAAAATTTTACTGGAACAGAGCCCTACCCATTTTTTATGTACTGTCTATGACGGCTACAAGGACTGTGTCCAGTACTCACAACACAGAATGCATGGCCCACTAAGCCTAGCATATTTATTACTAGCCCCCTTACAGAAAAAAGTCTGCCAACCCCTGATCTATCCTATTCTTTAGATCTGCCCAATACTCCATCTAATGAACATACCACATTTTACTGATGGATATTTAGATTGCTCTCAATTTTTCCATATTACAAAAATGCTGCCACGTATATGTACCAAGGATTATATTTTGAGAGCTTTTCTGACAAGGCACTGTGTAAGCAACTAGAGAAAGGTGCCTTGCACATACTAGGAACTCAGTAAATATTTGTTGACTAACTGCTTTTGGAATGAATCACCAAGTCCTAAAACATCAAAGTACCAAACCCAGTACCTTGTATAGTCCAGGCAACTGACCTTTGTTAAATGGCTTCATTTAAGGACAGGGACTCAGATATTTATTGATAGTTAAATGTAAAAAAAAAAAAAAAAAAAAAAAAAATTCCAGTCTGAAGTCATCAAGATTTCCTAGAATATTCACTAAGCTCTCTTTATTAAAGCAGACAAGAAGGCAGAAGCTATTTACATCCTTTATAAACAAATACAAATCAGAATAATGCGCTAATGACCAACAACACTGGGTATCTGACAAATCTCCATGAAGATCCTTCAGTGACTGTTTTGATTCTTGAAGTTTTAGTCAGTTATTTTTTTAAAACCTACCCCATTAATTGTAATGTCTTATTCTTCTACCATGGAGTCTATTCCCTTTAACTCTTTAATACTTTTCAACATCTTCTCTTGTTTGTGTATCTGCTAACTCTTCCTCATGGTGGTTTATTTCTGAATGTGATCTGTATACATATATTTTTATTCTGAGCTCATCTTCAGCTTTACAGGACTTTTTATTTTCTTTTTTTTTCTCCAGTGGGGGCCTCTGGGTCTCCTGTTCTGTCAAAGTGACCCTATGGAGCAGTTCTGCATTTGCTTCGGTTGGGGTCCCCCAGGGTGTCATCATTCCTACACTGGGATTTCACTAAACCTCTTGTGAAAATTTCTTAGCTTGCGGTTCCAGCACACACTGATGGTGTAAACTTATACCCTAGATTCACTCAGGATTCGGAATTCTCACTCAAGGCCCTGAAGAGATAGCAAGTATTCTTTGCTGCTTTTGAATGTCAAAGGGTGGAATTTTTCTAGGTCCTTTATTGTGGCTGTTACAGTCTTTACAGCTATTAGCTTTATGCAGGAGTCTCCCCCTGCAGGCCCTGAGGCCACTGATCCTGTCCCCAACTGAGGGGGATGCTGTTTTTTATTGCTCTGACTTTGAAAAATCCTCAGAGATTTTTCTTTTTTCAGGTTCAGCTGTGTATACACTTAAAATACATATATATTTTATCCAGCATTTTTAAGTTTTATAGGAGAATGGGTTCAAATACAGCAATGATCATGAGGATTGCACAGGACTGGGAAGTGTTTGTTCTGTGGTACACAGGGTCACTATGAGTAGGAACTGATTCTACGTCACCTAACAACAACAGGAGAAAGGAGGTGACTATCTAGTGTGGTTTACTGCTGGAGTTCCTTGAAAATCAATTTCATACTAACAATCAAATATATGGCTTCTGCTTTTCCCTGAGACCAGTGCTCCCCAGATGGAGTACAGGCACTGTGAAGGGGGAACGGCAAAACGATCCATTGGAATACAGAAGGAAAATTTTACAGCTTATAATTTATATTGATTTCTTAAAAGAGAAATGGAACTGATATACTGGTGCCGCACTCAGACTTTATGTGGGCAGCCTCGCTTGATACACGATACTAGTGGTTTCTTGAGGGAAGGAGGGGTGTTCCTCACTTGGGAGTGGGGTGCGGTGTGGGGATGTGTAATGGTAGCACCTCTTCTCCCTACCCACTTTCAGCACACTGTGACCAATGGAAGTTTATAGGTGCATAATTAAATGAGCTTATGGATTATATTATCTAGTTTCAACTAAAATAAAATGGAAAGAAGACTTACGCAAATTCCTGCTAGGAAACCATGGATCAAAGACAATACTAATAACTAATCAACCAACAAGAATATGGCAAATATTCTTATTCCTAAGATGAGCTCTTTTTGAGTAGGACATGTATGTAGTTTTACATTAAATATATACCAACTGAAGCAGTAGGCTAAAAAATGTTCTAATGATGGATGAACATATTAAAAAATGCTTGGTGACTAGTGCCCTGACAGCCAAGTTATTCCAGTTCTGAGAAGCTGACCATGCCTAGTGGCTTAAAACTAAACTGTAGACATTCAACTGGTGTCCTAGGAATGTGACTAGTTAGAACCTGGGCTCCAAAATAAAAACACTGGTGGGATACTGGCCAGTGATAGCCTCTTCTTTCTTAGAGGTCATATAAAACTTATTTTTGTGAAATAGTAGTTGTCAATTTTCTGGTAAGTTACACCTGAAGGATGACATCAACATGCGTGACATCTGCCCACAGGGATGCATTAAGATTTGGATGAGATCGCCCTTGAATTTTTTTCTTTTTTTAAATAGGACAGTAAAACAAATAGTGCTGCCGACTATTTTGGGGTTATAATGTATCCATAAAAATTATTCAGCAAGAACGTGTGTGATGAAGCCAGTCATCTAAAGTCACAACAACTGTGGCATAGATAAGACAGGCTGCGGATTATATGCTAGCTTTAACTCTAACTCCACTCCTTTTCTACTCAAGAAAGCAAGCAAGTGGAAATTATCGCAGAACTAACTTCGAAGCTGCCCAAATAAATTTTAAATTTCAGCAGTAAGTTAACTGTTTTTAGTTAACAAATCACTTGGGATACTTAACACAAATGACAGGAAATAAGACAATGTCATGACATCATGGTCTGCGAAGTGCTTCTTGGAGTCTGAATTAGTCACTGTTTTGTTGCACTGGTTACAGGTATAACATGATGCCACCTCAGCTTTCTGGGGTGTCTGGATCTCCAGACCGGTCATTTCTGGCCATAAGCAGCCTCCCTGATTTATATCGGTGTGCTACGTAAATATTATCACATTCTATGTGTGTCATGAACAAAGTTTCAGACATATTGCCTTAGAGCAGGGGCTGGCCTAAAGCCTATTTTTTGTATGGCCCGTAAGCTAAAAATGATATTTATGTTTTTAAGTGGTTGAAAAAAATTTAATATTTTGTGATATGTGAGGACTACATGAAATTCAAATTTCAGTGTCCGTACATAAAGTTTTATTGGAACACAGCCATGAATCATTGCTTTATATATTATCTATGGCTGCTTTTGGAGTCCTGGTGGTGCAGTGGTTAAGAGCTCGTCTACCAGCCGCTCCTTGGAAACCCTATGGGGCAGTTCTATTCTGTCCCATAGGGTCACTATGAATCGGAATCGACTCGCCAGCAATGGGTTTTGGGCTGGCTTGCTGCTTTTGCGCTACCACGGCAGAGTTCAGTAGTTGTGATAGAAGACTCTGTAGGTCCACAAAGGCTAAAATATTTGCGATCTGGCCCTTTATAGACCAAGTCAGCTGACCTCTGCCTTAGAGTATCTTATCAAAACCAGGAACCATGCTCAGTTAACAAACTTGGGTTTAAGGATGTTTTAAGCAGGTCAGCAACATCTCTGCACACAAAAGTGTTCTCCCTCGCTTGGCAGTTAGCATGAGTTAGTGGGAGTAAATCATCAACGCATACACCAAAGGACTAGAACAAAAAAAAATGAGCATATATGATCTGACAAGGGATTGCTGGGTAACTTTAGGATTGAGGCTACAATGTAGTTTTGATGCTGCCACAGATTTCTGGGATAGGTAGTGATTTAAAGAAAAAAGAACCTAATATTTGAAAATTGGAGCTGTCTGAAAAAAAAAAAAAAATGTTGCCATGTTATATATATCCAGAATTTAATTCTTTGGTACGAGTTAAATATGAAAAAGACTACTTCTCCATATAAATGAGGAACAGGTAACAGGTAGGATAGACACGAAACTAGAAATGAGCTTTCTTGAGCCAAGAGAGTTGATCTTAGGAGAGGCAGAAGCATGTCTCTTACTTGCACAAGTGTAGGCATCTTTGTTGGTGAAAGGCTTCATACACTGGCTACAGCTGATGGGACCCACAATAGGAATGGAACCAAAGGTGTGGCCATTGAGAGTCTTCTTGTCCTTCTCCTTCTCTTTAGAATCTTTCTCCTTCTCCTTAATTTTGTCTTTCTCTTTTTCCTTTTCCTGCCAATGAAAAGAATCAACAGTTAATTGAACACTAGAAGGCCCTCCCCTCACCTGTGCCTCCAGATGGCATGCGGTCAACAGTCGTTGGTAAGTGTTTTGGACAAAAGTAAGGAAAACTGTTCTGGACCAAAAAAAAAATGTTTTTATTAAGTTGTGAACATGCAGGCTACATCAGAAAAATCGTATGACGACCGGGCAGATTAAACAGTTCTGTCAATGGTTTATGTAAATGGTTATTTATACTGACAGACATACTGCCCAAGGACCAATACTAGAAAGAAGCTTCTGGTGTTGAGGAAGAAGTAGCCTGAGGCGGCCATGGATCTTCCTCAGTAAGTCACAGTAAAGCCCACAAAGCAAGCAACACGTTTTACGGCTGGCTCTAGGGAGGGAGCAGAAGAAAGGAGGGTAGCCACTCTGGGATGAGCTTGAGGGAGAGGAAGGACGACTGGGCAGCACGAAAAATTTCTTACTTTCTCTCACCAATCACATACCCCTAAGTGAGGGGACACCTGTGATGTTTCCTTCCTTACCCTAGCCAGAAGTATTAAATATCTTCCACATATACATTTTCAGTTCTTACTAGTTAGAATTTCAAGATTTATGGCTATCAACTTTGGTACAATTTTCAAGATAGGGAGAGGAAGGAGATAAGAGGTACAGGCTGGGAAACTGCACCATAGTTAAGGATACAGACAATGGTTGCCAGCCCTGGGTTCAAATCTAGGTACTACTATTACTTACTAATGATTGACCTTGGGTAAGTTAGTTACATTCTCTGGGCTTCTGTTTGCTCACTTGTAGAATGGGGATAACAGAGGTACTCATCTCTGTGTTTTTTTGAAGAATTAAATGGGATAATACATTTAAAATACTATCTGCCTGACACATAAACAAAAACAAAAACCAAAACCAAACGTATTGCTGTCGAGTCGATTCCGACTCACAGTGACCCTATAGGACAGAGTAGAACTGCCCCATAGGGTTTCGAAGAAGCGGCTGGTGGATTTGAACTGCTGATCTCTTGGTTAGCAGCTGAGCTCTTTAATCACCACACAACCAGGGTTCCAACATAGTGAGTACGTAATAACACTCGGCAATAGTTATTATAATAATTATTCATAATTTACTGAAAGTGAGTTTGATCTGCTTATTACTTTCTTAATTCAACACAGAAATGCAGTGTTTGCAGTAGGGGAAAGGACATTTTGATGGGAGGGTGGGATGGTACGAAAGGAAGCTGAGGAAGGGCAAGGACAACAGGGCAGAGCAGGGAGGACAAGATAGGTATGCAAAGGATGGGAGGCAGAAGCCTTGTTATTAATTTTTCTCAAAACCACCTTCTTTATCCCCTCAAGCTAGTTACCACAGGGGTCACTTCCTTCAGGAAAATGGGGTCCCAAAGAAAGGCAAGTCCCAAGGCCAATCTATTCACTCCTCTGCCCTGAGGACATAGGGGGCACAGTAAGATAGGAAAAGGAGGCAGCATGGAACTGACTCTAGTTTGGAGAGACAAGGTTCACCAAGACTGTTCTCTAGTCACCCCTGAGAAGCTCCCTTCTCTTCTAGGTTCCTCCCTCATCCGTCAGAGAGGGCGCGGGAAACTGAAATTCATCTGATGTTTACTATGCGCCCAGCCACTGAGCTAGGTGCTTCCCACTGACTGAGCAGACTGGAGCTGGGCCAGGCATGAAGCTCAGGGGCCCTGGCTAAGGAGAGATCAGATTGGGTGGAAAGGGAAGGGAGGGGGACACGGAACTGGGAGTCAGGTGTTCTGATACTCCAATACCCTGGCTACATTACCTCACAAAAATGCAATAATGCTATAAATGCTTTAGGGACAGACAGAAAGCAGATGGACTTTCATATGACGTCACACGCCTCAATCTAAGAAGGGTTATTATCAAAGCTTACACACACAATCATAAAGAGAAATGGAAAGTATATTTTTTTAAATCTTTAAAACTTGAGGAAATACTGACGACTACTAGATTCTGAATAAAGTATTTAAAGCAGTCAGGGGCATTTCAGGTATATCCTACTTTTAGGAGGTTAAGACCGTGGGGTATAACCATGCTCTCCATAAAAGGTCCTTAGAAGCACTGTTAGGCAGGACATTCAGCTGGTTAAGCAATTATCAACTGAATTGTTTTTTTTAACCCACTGGATAGGTTTGGAGAAGTACAATTCACAGAGGCAGGAGTTTCACTTATTGCCATATACTACTGTTGTAATCTAAGAAAATTCCTGGAAATGGGAAACCCACCGTTAGTGATTACCACAAGAACTAAATGCCTGACATTCTGAATCAATGCCTTCTACATACATTATTTCAACTGACTCAAAAACTCTAAAGTGGCAGGGTGGGCATTATGCTTCCCATTTTACAACTGAGAAGTTGAAGATAATAAATAACAGCTACTATTTTGACAGTTACTATGTCCTAAGCACTGTGGTAAGCAATGCATTTTCTCACAACAACCCTATGAAGTAAGTACTTGCTGTTACTTCCACTTGCATCTGAGGAGACTGAGGCTTAGAGATGTTAAAGCATGAATCTGAGGCCACACACCAATAACTGTCCAAGCTGGGATTAAGATCCAGGGGTAGTCAACTCTAAAGCTCAGTTCTCACTCACAACACTATACTGCTAAGGGCTAGAGAGGTCCATTAACTTGCAAAAGGTCACACAGCAAATGAGCAGCACAGTCAAAATCAGAACCCAGGGTCTTCTGACTTCCTATCCAAAACCTTTCCCCCTATACTGAAATGGTGAATATTTGCTAAGTCTAGGGTTCATGTTAAATCTTTTGTTAAAAGAATGCATATAATGAAACTCTAAGGGCCAAATTGCTATAATTTGGAAGTATAAAAAAGAATACATAAGGAAGAGAGAAAAACAAACTACTTCATCTTACAAAACAGGGAACTGTTCTGAGTAAGAATCAGTGACCTCTAAAGTACGTAAAACCCTAAAAAAATTAACAACAAAAATTGATTTTCTTTGAATAATTTTCTTTTAACTGGATTTTGCTGCAGGTTCCTCCATACATAAAATGTTAAACTGAGAAGCATCTGATTTTTGCTCAAGAAAGCTGAAGCATTCTCCAATAGTTAAAGAAAATGTGCTATGGCAAGTTGCTCATTCTCTCAAGTCTTGCACTGCTTTTCAAATGTGAATAAATAACAAATATTTTCCTCATCCTCTGCAATAATCCAAACTAGTTTTTCCACAGATAAAAACAAAACAATAAACTTCACGGTCTCTTTCTGTGTTTATCAGAAATTAGTGCTTTAAAGAAGTCAGCTCTTACCTCCCCATGTTTTGGTCCTATGAATCTCACTGTTATGAGGGGTGCTTCATGAAAACGACCCCATTTTACCGACATGATTCAATCCCCATGCCAGGAAATGTGCTCTCACAGAAGGAAGGGCTCATGCCGGCAGGGCAGAGCTAGCAGCTTGGAGCTACCATTAGAGAAAGCGTAAGAGGAAGCCAGAGACTGGTTGAGAAAGGGAAGGAGGGAGGGCTGAGGCTGCTTGTTTCCTTGAGACGATCTTAACTACTTGTATGCTGCTGGTAAATGCTGGTAAAGCCAATTACCCTAGTTACAAACAACACAGGTGATGAAACAAAACTAATTCCCCCAAATACAGTGTGTGCAGATGGTGCTTAAGCTGCAATACAGGAACTCTGGCAAAGACTGAGGTCAGTTTTTAATGCTAGAAGTTAAGGAACACATCTGTTTAAAAACAGACTCCTCGTTTCAGAAAAAGCAGTGAGTTTCCTAAGAAAACGATTTAGTCAGGTTGCCTGTGTTAAGGTGGTAGCTAGCTGTTTCTGACGCTTGACTTGTCCATGTTTAGCAGCTGCCAAAATACTTCAACTGTGCGCTGGGGAAACAGAAGCGAAGAGTGTTTAGAAAGAAAGACACAGGCAATAACTACACTAGTATACTATGGGGGAAAATGATTTTCACTTTCTGAAACCTACTCTAGGAAATCCCAGGGGGGCAGTTCAACTCTGTCCTATAGGGTCGCTATGACTCTGGATTGGCTGGACAGCACACAACAACAACAACAAAAACAAACCTAACCTTTTAGACAAGTAATTACAATAAAAAAAATCATAGAACACTTTGGACAACTGAGAAAACATGCTACGATTCAGCAACTGTCACGCTGCAGATCTGTAATCAAAGAAGGAATGAGAGAGATAATTATATTTAACATTGACTTAAGGCTTTGTAAACACTGCTCTAACTCTTGTAGGCAACTTTGAAAGGCTGATGGGTATACTTTTTTATATAGACCAGAAGGAACTAGGAGTTGGTGCTGAACATCTTGTTATAAAGTCATGTAGTATACTAGCAGCTGTGCAGGAATTCAACACTTGCATCCAAAAATAACTGCTTTAAGTCAGATTAAGAATTTTTCTAAAACATTTCTAACCATCTTCTAGTTGTCTGCAAAGAAGAAAGCTTAGTAGCAAAAAGAAAGCCAGCGTGACAAGATGGTTTATAGAATTGCCCCCCTCTCTTTTTGAATGCAACGATGATGCATCATAGTGTTTCAATACTCTGTAACAAGCCAAATTACTTAGCAGGAAACAGTACCATGTCTCAGAGATACTAAAAGACAAAAGCAGAAACTGCCTGTCTTCCTGTTACACTTCCTGTTTAGACTTTTTTCCTCTTTTCAAAAACAATTCAATATATTTATCTTATAACTTATGCCAGTTGTTGCTAATTCTCAAAAGGATGTGTGAAGGAGACAGGGACTCAAATTTTCAAATAATATATATGCAACCCAGTGCTATAGGCAAAATATCTTACCTAGGAATATGAATGGCCTGCAACCTAGGTGCTGATTTTTGGCTCCTCTGAACATTATTTTAAGAATTGTCTACAATCACAACTTAACACACTGACTAATATATCTAGGTTAATAGCTATAAGCTATTTTTATATAAATATATACATTATGCTTCACTATAAAGAAAGCAGAAATTTCCAAATCATCATTGGAGACTACCAAGAATTATAGGTGGCATTTTAATATAATATTCAGTAAATGCTTAAATTTTTCCTTTAAAAAAAGTAGGAATGGTTCAGTTGTATGATAACTAACAAAACAGGCAGACTGGATATATTAAGTAACATCCATTTAAAAAAATTAAAAGAAGTGAAAATATATAATTTTCATAGAAAATCAGTGTTGACATCTACATTAGAACTCACTTTCAAGTTTTTTACATTATCGAGAGAGAACATAACTCCATTATTCAATAATTAAAAAAGAGAGTATCATCACAGCTAAGAAAAATTTAACATTCATTTATTTTTGCATTATCATTTAGAAAATAAAACACTTCTGTATGGTAAAGCCCTATTATGAGTCCACAGTACATAAAGACAGGGTGTTTAATGTAACAACACAAAATTCATTACTTCACTACAAAAATTCTAAAACAATCTTATTTAGTTAGCTAACAACTAACAATGAAAGGTGACTCATACTTCTCAACATACTTAGCCATTAGGGTACTCTAAACACCTGTCAATGTGAAATGGGCTGTAATCCAGGGTTACTACCATTTCTGATTTTTAGTCTTCCTTAGACTTTCCATTGCTAGAGACAGCACAGCCCTCAAAGATCAAATCTTGAAGCCAAGTCTGAAAGAGGAACCAGTCTCAATTGCAAAACAGTGTTGTCATCTTGAAAAAGGAGATGATCAGAGGCAAGAGGTCAACTGATACTTCAGCAGTGTCTGCAGTGATGGCAGACTTCACTCCAACACAAATCACCTTTTTCTCTCAAGCCCTTTCTCCTCATTCCCTCACTAGCAAATTCTAGTCCTTTGAGGTTATTAACAAAGTTAAAAAGAAAAAGATACTGTTTAGCAACAGATTTTAAGAGTAAGCATGAAAAGAGTACTACTTGCCAGGAAGGAGCCCTGGTGGCTCAGTGGTTAAGCGCTTAGCTGCAAACTGAAAGGTCAGTGGTTTGAATTCACCATCTGCTCCAAGGGAGAAAGATGCGGCAGTCTGCTTCTGTAAAGATTTACAGCCTTGGAAACCCTATGGGGCAGTTCTACTGTGTCCTACGGGGTCACTCTGAGTTGGAATCAACAACAACACACAACACTTGCCAGAAGACAGACCACAGAGGTTCTGCCTTAATTTCATCTAGTTACGTGACCTGAAGCATACTCTCTGTGCTTTAGCTTATAAAATAAGGAAGCTGGATGAGACTGTTCTTTAAGGTCAGGTCCAGTTCCTACATTCAGACATACAATGTTTTTTTATGCCTGTTTGTCTTACCTCATCAATCAGATCAGTGGTGTACTCACTGCTCTGCCCTAAAAGTCAAGTGAGGGATGGGATGGAAAGGGGATTCTGCTTATTTGATTGGTCTTCCAATTAAAAATTTGTTTGAAGATTCTGTAGTGTAAAGCCAAAATAAAAAATGACAAAAAAATTTTCTGAAATCATCTAAATTTTGATCATAAAATGTTTCAAGGTAAAGGCTATGAACTTTAGTTCTTTTAGGTGCTTCTTAACACCTAGCAGAGTGCTAAGACTATAGACGTAACTCTGTAAGACTTGGCTAATTTATAATGACACTGGCATATTGTTGATGCCAACCGTGTCTATGCCATTAGTGATAAGTCAAATAGATAAGGCTCTATTTTAAGCCTTCCTGCCAATATGCAGAATATCCGTAAGCATTCTGACCTCTTTGACCTTAGATTTTCAACTGTAAAACAAGGTTAATTATGAGGTTAATACTTAAATATGTGATTATTCTAGAACCGATTTCCTTGACTCTGCAGCTTTTCTTGACCATCCACTTGCTCTCCCGTTGGTTCGTCATAGGCTGATAACAGGCAGGAGAAATGGAGAGGAAACACACTTCTGGTGGCAGGTTTTGTGCAAAAATTCCTGAGTGATTTCTAGTATGTGTATGTATATTAACTTACTGTTTATATATATACATATATGCATGCATACATAGTGATTTCTTGCAGGACTCCTTCACTGACTTCCAATTTTTATTTTCTTACTTCTTTATTTTGATTGTGGAGGGATGAGTGGAATGTAGGCAAAGTGGGAGGCAAAAAGTTTCCCCCACTGATTGGAAATCAAACAGTTGTGGTTTAGCACTGGGAGTCAGCGTAAGAAAATTAAACCCTTATCTTTCTTCCTTTTAAAAATATATTACAAAAAATTTTTTAAAAAAAGATTAGGAGTAAATAAACTAAGAGTAGTTATTTCTATGTGGGGTTATTATATATGATTTTTATTTTATATTTTGAAAATTCTTATAAGGAGTGGGTAATAATTAATAACTAGATAAAAATGTTAGCTTAATTATTTTAACTTAATCTCTTAAACACTAATGAAGACATAGCCCAACATGTTCTTAGTTAGGAATAGATAGAAGAATTCATATTAAATTAGTCTTAAAAGTTCTTGTAATTTTCTGTGAGATAATCTTTCTTCCTTCTAAACTCACATAAAATGTTTTCAGTCCCCTGATCTAGGAATAAAATCTTCCAGTTGGATTTTAAACCTGATTTACTGATTTAAGTATCACAGTTGAGATTACAGGATCTGAAGTCAAAGAGATCTGGGTTTGAACCTCTGTTGCACCGCAGAAGCACACACTCAGATAAAGCACCTCACTCCCATAAAAGGGAGGTAATATCTAACTCACCAGGTTGTTGAAAGGATTAAGTAAGATTATATATGAAACCTCCTAACATATAGTAAAAACTGAACAATAGTAGTACCTCTTGTTGCTATTTTTCTTACTGTTCTTCAACTGTTAGGCTATTTCAGCAATGATTTCCATTTATGTCCCATATCTAATTAGCTCTAGGTTGTGTGCAGCCTGTGACAGGGGCCTACTGATGACTGACTGAGGCGGTCAGATGACGAATGCTCAGGATGATACTTACTTTGCTCTTCTTACTGCTGGACATTTTATTTTTGATGTAGCTGAATGTGCGACTGACTTTTGTTCCACTCTTTCCTTCAAAGTCTTTCTTGGAAGGGCTTTGTGGCAGGAAATCATAGTTCTCTTCTGTTATACTAGATAAAAACAAGAAGATTGGTTTTTTTAAGGACTACAGAAGTCAATTTAAAAAAACCCGAAAATACTTTATATGTAATTTTTTGTAATTAACTGTTATTGTCATACTTTACTTTACTGACAGGTCCTAGTCAACTTATATATTCATATGAAAATGGGAACCAGAATACGAAGGTGGATGGAGGCTGCTAGATGGTTTTATACACAGTGCCCTCTGCTGCCAAAAAACGGCTGTTTTCTTACATCAGCTATTTTCAGTCACCTGACGTTAAATACAGGCTGTTAATTATTAATTATTTCATCTGAAATTTCTTGATTTAAAATAGCACTCAATTTATGAACTTCTCTGCATCAAACAGGTGCTAGAAAGGAAAGCCATATATGTGATGAATGGCAGGGAATTGTTAATAAAGGTTGTAAACTAAGGAACCTATATGACTAACTGCATAACCTTATAGTAGAGATCACACATCTTTTCTGTTCTTTAGCACACTGGACAATCAATACTGCGAATTGGTCAATACAGCTAGGCACCATTTTAGGAGGGAATGTTCTGCCATGAGTTGGAGCAGATGTGATGGCAACTAACAACAGGCTGGCGGCAGGCAGAGCTGAGGCAGAGTATAGAAAGATCCATTTTAGGAGTTTTAAAAAGATCCAAATTCAGTGATGTACTTGTTCAGGACGCCTACATCAAACCTAAGTCCATCTAAAACAGACATGTTTTGACCTTAGGAAATTCACAATGGTTGATTTCTTCAAAGAATACTGGGCAAAGGCACTTGAATAAATAATCCATTATACAGAAAAAGAATCCATTTATCCTATTTTTCGTAAGTGTCTCAGAAAAGTTATTTTAGAACTAACTTTCCACTGACAAGTAGTGAGAGGGAGGCAGAGGCACATTCATAAGGTTCTTCTTCAACAGCTAAAGTTTCCTTATATATGGGGCACCATGTAAAGGGCTGTTTACAAAACAAAGGAGTCTGCTGCTAAGAAAAAGGGAAGTGGTGTGAAAAGCACTGCTCTTGGAAGGAGAAAGAATGAAGAAGTGTGGAGAGAAGCAGCCAACTGGGAGTCTCCTGGATTACTGAGCCACACTGATACCTTTGTGAAAAGAAGCAAAACTTTAAAAAATTGCAGGGCAACAATCAGAACCCCAATTACGCTGTTTTTAAAATATTTAATCTCATCAGCATGAAAAGAAATATAAACTAAATGAGTCAGAACAGAAATCTTTTGCCTGCTGTCAAGTCAGAACCAATTCATGTCCTTAGGCAGAACTGTGTACCATTATCCACATATACAGAAGATAATAGCTTTAAAGCTTAAAATGACTATGGTAGCAGTACGACATGAACTTACTACTAATTATGAAACAAAATGTTGCCAGGCTTAGGAGTTAAAAATGTCCACAAGCTAAGAGTGCCTAAGCTCATAAAGGCAAATATAAATGTGCTCTCACATGAATAAATGCAAATGAAAATCTTTATCATTAGTGTAGTGCAAAGAATAAAAGTGGCAAATTAATTAAGATATTAATTAATTAAGATACAGCCTTCATATGACCTCCATGAACAACTGCCGTAAGACCAGAAGAACTGGATGGTGCCTGGTTACCATTACTGAACATTTTGATTCAAGAGTTTATAGAAGAATCCTAATCAAAAGGGGGAAAATAAAGAACAGAATCTCAAATTTCAGGGCTCCAGACTTCCTGGAGCCATGGAGGCTGGATGAGCCCCTGAAACTATTGCCCTGAGATAATCTTTAAACTTTAAACCAAAAATATCCTGTGAAGTCTTCTTAAACCAAACACTAGTTAAGCTTAACTAGTAAAAAATATCTGCCTTGAGGATTGACACCGTGGCTGCAACAACAATGGGCTCAAGCATAACAACGATTGCGAAGATGGTGCAGGACCAGGCAGTGTTTTGTTCTATTGTACATAAGGTCGCTATGAGTTGCAACCGACTTGACAGCATCTAACAATAACAACATATGGGATCAAAGTGACAACATCAACTAAAAAGATCAGACAGGAAACTTAGAGGGCAGTGAGTTTATGTTAATAGGGTAGCAACAACTCAGAAAAGGAGGGTGAGAATGGTTGCACAACTCCAATAACATAACCAATGTCACTGAATTGTACATGAAGCAGTCGAACTGATATATCTTTTGCTGTATATGTTCTCAAGAACAATAAAATAAAATAAAAAATGTAAACAACAACAGCAGCCTTCAATACAAAACCATTTTTAATTGTTATTCCAAATTTATTACTCAAGGAAGAACCAAATTAGCTCAATTAGCTTACTTAAGTTAAATGCCATAGATATTTTGAATTTCCTTCATTTCATTTTGTTAAAGGAATAGCAAAATAAATGCATAGTACCTTTCAGCCAGATTAGCGCTGGTGTTGTGGAAGAGTCGTGTATCTAGAAAACAAAAAAAGGGAAAGAGAAGTTAGAACAAAAGTATTTTACCACGAGAGATAAAATGTTTATGATGACACAGGTAAAGTGGAAACAGGGTGCTGAAAATCAGTGCGTGGTGCCTCCTTCTCTAAGTGTTTGGAAGGAGGAGAAATTAAACTAGAAACCATGAAGTTAGAAATGGAAATACAAGCAATAAGGAGTGAATTTCCCATGAAAACAAAACTAAAAAGTTTAATCTGGGATTCAACAAACAGAACAAATCTAAAGTCAACATTTTTTCCTAATGCTTAAACACTCATGAAGCATGTTTTATTCCTGTTCTATCAATATTCAGTTTCCAATAGGCCATCTTTCTGAGATGACATCACAGAAAGACCCTAAAACAGGAAATTAAATGCCATATTCTACATGCTCTATTAATTCTACTTTCACGTATTTCTATATTAGGAATGTAGCTAATGTGTCTCTGATATTTTCCTGAGAATTTCTGGAAACAGATTAGTGACTAGGAAAGAACATCAGACCTGGCTTATGCTCTTGGCCCTGTCACTAACTTGGGGTGAGACCTCTGGATTTCATTTTCTCATCTGTGAACTGAGAGAGATATTCTCTAAGATTCTTTCCAGGAGGATACTGATGAGTGGGCAGATGCATTCTTCCTCCTTCCGTATCAATCAGATCATAAACCGAAGTGGGTCATTAATATTTTAAGTCAGATGCAGGGCAAAAAGTAGAACAAATAAGGGAACACCACCATTATTTTGATCTACCACAAGTTAATAAATTTTGAGCTACTTTAGGACTTAGAAGAGAACAAGGCCTCCATCACACAATGACAAATCGTTCTCAATTTTTAGGAGATCAGATAGAGGAGTATTTTCCATATATAATTCCAGCTACACAAGGTTGCTCAGTACCTCCTGCTACAATGTGGAACATACACACCCCTTTTCCTTGAGGTTAGCTTCAAGGATCTCTGAGATTACTGTGAGTAAAACTTCACACAGATTCAAAGACGTTCTATCACTAGATTACCAGCATAGGAAATTCTTAAACTCCCAAACCATTTCAGATTCCGAATAACAATGTAAAATGACAGTTATTATTAAGTAATATAAATAGCAAAGGGGTGGAATAATGCATAGCAACTTAAATTCTAAGTCTTCAAAAGATCGCCTTGTACACTTTCTCCTTTTCCCTATTTAGGGTTTTTCTTCTGTTTAACTTATGTGCACGGTAGCAATAGTCAGGTGAGAAAGATCAGCAGAGCGAGAAGATCTAGGACCTGTTCCTAGTTCTGGCCGATCAGGTGTGAAACCATTGGCATTTTAACCTTATGATGCTTTAGTTTGCATAAGCAAAAAAACAAGTAGCTGGTTTAAGCCAGTGACTTCAAAATTCTTTCTACTACGGGGCTTTCAATGATACCAGTGACATTAAATTCTTTCAGGCCACCAGGATACAGTCATATTCTTAAGCTATTACATAATAAATTACCACCCTAGTAATCTAAACAAAAATAAAATTTACAAGGCAGATAAATATCAACCAATACAGAGCCTAATTAAGAATAGACTCCTAGTAGATTTCTCTTGAATTAACCAAAACTGAACAAATACGTGACTAAGGTTGTAGGAGAATCTATGACTCCTATAATTTCCAACTTTTTCACTGCTGAAAAAAATTTTATTTCAGTTACGACGACTCCCTTAGATGTGATTCTGAAAATAGTGATTACTTCATTAACGTCTCTGAAATTCCTAGTGTCAAGTTTTTAGAGCATCTAAGAGCATGAAGCAACTACGGTTACTTCCATGATATAACTACAGACAAAAGCAAAGAAATTCGTCATTTAGGTTAGCCTGTGAAGTATTATTGCAGGTGAGCAGAATATTTCAACTAGGCTTTTTTTCAAGGCACAGAATAACTTGCAGACCTACTGTACTACCTCCAGGGACTCAGGCTGGAACCACTGGGTGCACATGGTCAATATTTTTCAAAGTGTGTTCTGTGGAACACAACTCTCATAAGATATTATACATTGTTGTTGTTAGGTACTGTTTAGTCAATTCCAACACACAGCCAACCCCAAGTGACAGAGCAGAACTGCCCCATAGGGTTTTCTAGCTGTAATTTTACAGAAGCTGACTGCCAGGCCTTCCTCTCACAGAGCTGCTGGATGAGTTCAAATTGACCACCTTTTGGTTAGCAGCTGAGCATTTAACCGTTGTGCCACCAGGGCTCCTTATGTTATACATAGGCATGCACATACTGTGGTTTCCTAAATTAGTAAGCTTGGAAAACAGCAAATTGAACACTGCCTTGGAAAATCACAATGTACACATTAGCTTTTTAAACCTGCTTAACCCAGAGTTTCCTAAACCTATTTGGTCATGAACTAACTTCCTTCTTCTTCTTCCTCTCCTCCCCACTGCCCCCGTCTCCTACATAATTCTAATTAGTATCTTTGACTTTAAGGAACACATTTTGAGAAAAGCTGGATACATAATTCAAAGATTTCTCCAGCTTTTATACTTTTATGATTCCATTATGATAGATTAACTGGATGACCAGTGCTATTATGGGATTATAATTTTATATCAGTGGTAGAAGATTTACTAGGGAAACCTTGGTTTATTTCCATGCTGACCTGAGTATTTCCCAGTATCACAAATACTCTGAGGTGAAATAGCTTTGAGGCTTTCTGAGCACTCAAGGTTGTAAGTGGATTTTCACAACTTCCCTCCTATTACAATTGGGATAAGGTGAATGTGCCTCTATTTGCTAAACAGCTTTTAACAGAACTGAATGTCTGTAAGATCTCCATTTAAAAGCAAACTAACAACAGACAAATGGATAAGCAAAATGCATTATATACATACAGGAGACTATTACTTGGCCATATGAGAAGTGAAGTCCTGATACATACTACAACATGGATGAATCTTGAAATCATTATGCTGAGTGAAATAAGTTAGTCACAAAAGGACAAATACTGTATGATCTCTCACTTGCATGAAATATCTGTAATAGGCAAAGATATAGAGACAAAAGTTTTTTAATAGCGGGGGCTGAAGGAAGTGGGAGTGGGAGTCGCTGCTTAGAGGCCACTGAGTTTCTATGAAGGGTGATGGAAAAATTTGGAAACAGATAGTGGTGATGGTTGCATATAACATGATGAACATAATGTCACTGAATTATACATGTAAAAAATGTTGAAATGTCCCAAGTTTTTTTATATATATATCTACCACAATAAAAAAAAAACAAATTAACTTTGTATTACTGTACATAAAGCATTTCCTTTTAAGAATGATGCAAAAATGCTAGCCTGTGCAATATTTAAATATTGCTGAAACTTAGGGTTAAGCAAGTGGTAGGAAAGTAGGATGCTCAATCATGTAAATATTTTAATCATCAGTTGTTGAGTTGATTCCAACTCATGGTGACCCCACGTGTGCAGAGTAGAACTGCTCCAAAGGGTTTTTAAGGTTGTGGCCTGTCTTCCGAGGTGCCTCTGGGTGAGTTGGAACTGCCAACCTTTCTGCTAGTGGTTGAGCACTTAACTGTTTGTGCCACCCAGGGACTCCTTAATTGTCACAGACTCAAAATATTAGGTATAATGATAAGAAAACCATTCATTAGGTAATTTTAGTTTAGAAACAGTTTTTCTGTTAAAAAAAAAAAAAAAAAAAACAGCAACACTAGCATAGTCTAGAAATCCTGGACAACTGCAGACAATAATTTTCATGAGAGGGGGATTCATCTCCTTTCCAAGTTTACTATAACTGATACTTGTAAAGCTTTTTAATTAGTATTATCAAGTAACCTACGGCTCATTGCAAGGACTGAAAAATAAGAAAAACAGAAGTTCAATGGGAAAGAATGTAGGGTCTGATCTCAAAGGAAGGATATTTTTCTAGATACGGTCTGAAGAGGTGAGAAGAAAAAAGTATAACATCTATTTTTTAATATCACAGATGGACATCTAGATATCTGTCCCATGAGATAGAAAAGTAAAACAAGGAAAAATGAAATCTAATTGTCAAATAGAAAGTTTTAAGAAATCTGTACTCAGTATTACAAAGGCCACCAAGTGAGAACATATCCCTTAGTGCCTTTGAAGACATCTGTATTCTGGGAAGATATCTTGTACCCTGGGTCAGGGGGACACTGGATCAATCAGTGCAGGTAGTATACAGAAGACAAAAACTATTCTATCCAAATTAATTTTCAAAGCAAACATGAAGACAAGTGATTCAGAAAAGGTAGCATGCAAGGGGATAAGAGTCTCCAAACCATTTCTTAGTACCAAGCCTACAGCATTTTCAGAGCTGGCCAAACTCTGGAGAACAGCCATTGGACACCAAAGTTGCTTACTTACTATGCAACTCCTCCTCATCATCACTGGAATAAGAAGAGCCAAGAGAAAAGAGAGTTTTAGACTTAAGGAGGAGTGGAGAGATGTTGATGGAGAAGGAGATCCGCCTTGCTGGCTCCATCTGCTGCTGGGCTGAGAAGTGGGTTAACAGAAGACATTAGATCGTGCACAGGTTATGCCAGGACAAAGTAAAAGGCATCTGAAACCCATGTCAAAGCAGAATAACGTCACTGGCCTATATGCTTATAGGAAAGGTTGTCTAGGTGAACAATGTAATTTATTCCCATATTCATCTTCATTTCTCAATATGCAAAATTCTACTACAATATTTTAAAAATCCATCGAACAAATATCTATCTCCTTGTTAGATTAGGAAAACAAGAAGTAAATTATTTGAATGGTAACAATCTATAGCTGGAGTTTTCTTTCTTAAAATATGCTGAAAACATCTAGAGTAGCGGTGTTGCTCAGGATTCTGTATTTTGCTCTTTTCTTCCTCATCTGAAGTCTCCTCATTCACTCCCATCTCTTAAAGTACAATCCTTATAAAATTTACAGCTGACTTGAAGCCAGACCTCTCCTTTGGGCTCAAGACTCGTTCATCTCACCACTCACCTAT